GGATGGAGCCATTGTCGTCGCGCGAAGGCTCCATCGCCTCCTTGATGTGCTACGCCACTTCGGAGTGGGAGAGCGCTCCCTCGACGAGCGCCGTCCCATTGAGTGACACTCCGGGCACCATCATGTATAGGGGAAGCACGCGCCTCATCAGTGGCGCCACTCTCCACATATGGTAGGCGCCAATGATCCCTGACCCCTTCACGCCCCTCTCCTTCAGAATTCGGATGGCGGCGAGATGGTCCTAGATTTTCTTCTTGTCTTTATCCAGGATCCCCCACTTCCTCCATGATTCCAGGACCTGTTTGATGAGGCGCTCGGTGAACGCTGGCAAAGGGGCGGCTGTGTTGTCCTTGACGTAGAACCAATGCGAATGCCACCCCTTGTTGGAGGTCAACAGACGCATCGGCGGGTATTCGTTTACTCGATTGTTGCGGAGCTAAATGCCGGCGCATCCCATCAGCACACTCAGCTCCTGCCTCTTCTCCCGCTTCTTAAGGAGGGTGACGGCGAAGAAGTACCACCATAGGTCGAAGTGGGGACTAATCCTAGGAACCCTTCACACAGGGCGATGAACGCCGCAATGTGTTGGACTCCATTGGGATTAAGGTGCTGCAGCTCCACCTTGTAGTAATGTAGCAACCCCCGATGGAACTTGTGGGCGGGGGTGGCGAATCCTTGCTCATGGAAGTGAGCAAAGGACACAACGTAGCCATCGGGCGGTGATGGCGCGTCCTCATCACCGGGCGACCGCCACTCCTCGGTGGCGGTCTGCACGCAAAGGAGACCACGGTGGACGAGACCCTCTAGGGGCTGGAGGGTGATATCGGATCTACCCCATGGCTCCATTGAATGATTGGGATGGATGGATGCGAACTTGACGACGGCTGTGACGTGGATGAAGAGAGCTTGGGCGATTGGCAGCGGAGGTTGCAGATGAGAAGGCAAGGAGACAAAGTACGGAACCCTGGGGGTGAACCCTTTGGTTTTATAGGGGCAACGGATGCGAGGAAGGCAACCGTCCGCCTAGATCTCCGCACCTACCACGATACACCACCACGTCACATCGCGGGATATGCGCCCACAATCCATATCCTTTCCCTCCGAAGACGCGCCGGACGTTTTGCCTTCCCGGGCGAACCAGGACTCTTTACCAGCAGAAGAGACATGGGTCAAAAAGTGTTCCTCCGACCTGCCTGGGCCTAGGAGTTCGAGGGCTGGCCCATCAACGGTTTCGACGACCGTCTCAGGGCAGCCTTACGACAAAGGATGGGCCCGTGAGCGGCCAAAACCTAGGCACACGAGTACCACAAGTATCTCGACCCACGATTGGGTCTCAGCCAGGCTGACTCTTGCCAGATCCCCACGAATGGGATACCGGGACAAACTATCCCGTTATCAAAACACCAAATCTCACAGCCATACCCGCGAAGGGGCCGAATTACCTCCCGAACGATTCTATCCGAATCACCCGGGTGCTCAGGGGCTACACCCGATGGGTGCACTCGCGCGCACCCTCTGGCAAACCAAAATACCTCCCGGGCGAATCTATCCGAATCACCCGGGGGCTCGGGGACTACACCCGTCAGGTGCACTCGCACGCACCCTCTGGCGAATCGAAATACCCCCTAGGCGATTCTATCTGAATCACCCGGGGGCTCAGGGGCTACACCCGTCGGGTGCGCTCGTGTGCACCCTCTGGCAAGTCAAATCACCCTCAGGCGATTCTATCCAAATCACTCGGGGGCTCTAGGGCTACTGTCGGGGACCTGATAGTGGGGTACCCAAAGAGGAGGAGCTAATAACCATCAAACTTTGATGCTTCTGAATAGACAAGAACGCAACTACACTTCTTGCCCAATGACCGAAGGTTGGCTCAGCCTCGCCCGACCCCTGAGGGCTGGCTCCGCCCCGCCTGACCCCCGAGGGCTGGACTCTGCCTCGCCCGACGTCTATACGCTACTCCTTCATAACTACGCGTGCGGATAAGGCGGGGCACTCAAGTCAACCGCAATACCAAGGACCATACCCTGCACGCCTGCAGGAAAGTACTGTCAGGATATGACAAGATGGGCGCATTAAGCCCTTCTAGGCATGTCAGAGCCCAAACAGCGTTGTGGGCGCCGACATTTGTCTTACAGTGTTATGGGCGCCGGCATTTGCCTTCAAACACGAATCCTGACGGGGACATACGACAATCACTACGGTCCAGGAGGAAACTCATGTCATCTACAGTAACGAGCATGGGGCCTCTACGCCATCTGCTCCCCGTAGGGTCGCGATTCGGCACCCTGGTGCGTCACGCCGCCCGCCGAGGCAGTATGGGACATGACCACTTGCTGAACGAAGCCAGAGCACGACCCTATCAGGATCAGCGGACATGCTATCCCTGGCACTGTTTGTCGTGTCAGGGGGACTCGCTCAGAGGAAAAGGAGGACCCAGCATCGTTGAAGGATCTCCTTGGCTTCTGGTTTTTGTTCTTTCTCCCATTTGTAAATCCCCGCTTCCCCTTGGTCTATAAAAGGGGAAGGCAGGGCACCCCACTAAGGGGACGGATCGATTTAACACACCACGCACCACATCGCACACAGCTGAGCAGCAACCAAGCTCTCAGCACCCATTCGACCTTTCCATCTAAAACTTGGGACCTGCCCTCTCTCGCCCGTTTGTACCCCCTACTACTAACCTTTCAGTGCAAATAACACGAGCAGCGGCCACGAACTAGACGTAGGAGCATTCTGTCCGATCCAGTATAAATCTTGTGTCTTTTTTAGCACACCATCTGGGCCTAACGCGCAATAATATAAATTTACTAGTTGATGTTTACTCGAAACACCGACAACGAGCGTCAGAGCGTGGCCGACCTCGAGTGCAGCGATGGATGCGCGCGGCGAGGCGAGTCCACCCCGAGTCCGATGTTGGATGTGCGTAGCTCGCTGCCGGCCGTGTGTGGCTCCTCGGCTCCAGCTGTGCCCCTGCTCCATCGTGGTTGCGGCGTCTTCGTCGCGCACCCCACCGCCGGCCGTGCACCCCGCTGTCGGCTGCGCGCCCCCACCACCGCGTGCTCCGGCTAGTCCAGACGAGCGAGCGAGTGAAGCCGCCGCAACCACGCCGCCACCCACTGCGCAACAGGGAGAGGAGAGAGAGCAGAGTCACGGGGCACGGCAGCGCCACCGCAACCACCATGGTAGCTCTCTGGAGGTTCACCATTTTCTAATCCAAGACCATGGGGAGGGAGAGGATGGCAAGGGGGTTCCGATGGACTACCTACCTTGGTCGATTACAGCTCATGGATAGAGATCGACAGAGCGCCGCCACAACCACCATGGCCGACGAGCAGAGCTCGCAGCGCCACCGTGTTCCACTACCTGCAGCCGTCCTCGGCCCCAACCAAAACCGCTGCTGGCTCCGTCTTCTTCTCCTCTGCGCTTGTGCCGCTCCGTTCCCTGGGTCGTGGTCGCTGCCATGGGCCACTGCCACCGAGAGCCACCGCAGCGCGTGCGGGTGCCCTGGTGCTTGCACACCACAACGTCGGCAGCAGGCTAACAAGCGGTGGATCGCGCTGCGGACGTGGTGGAAGGAGCAGAGGTTCTGGGTGCGCAACGCCCTCACCGGTCAGCTCTTTGGCTACGTCAGCACCGCCCAGGAGCTGCTCGCCGCGCGCGGCCTTGCGGTCACCGTCGCCATCCCGTCCGGCAATGCCGCGTTGCTAGCGTCGCTGGTCCACGCGTGCGACACGTCACCTTCTCCTCCTCCTATGCGCTCCACCTCGCCATGTCGCACGCCCTTTGCGTAGCTCGGCGACGAAGTGTTCACGGTGGGCCCGCTATCGGACGCCGGTGGCATGGCCACGTCGTCGGGGGCGACCGCGGTGGGAAGCCCGCGGTGGCGGCGGTGCGGGTGGCGGCGTGGCTGGACGCGTTCCCGGACGGCTCCGTGGTGTACGCCGGCTTCGGGAAGCAACAAGCGCTGTCACCGGCGCAGGCGGTGTCCGTGGCGGAGCCGCCGCGTTCGTGTGGGCTTGGCGGAGCTGCTGCGTTCGTTTGGGCTCTGCGGAGCTGTCGCCGGACGCGCTGGCGCGGAGCTCAGCAGCGTTCGTGTGGGCGGCGAGGATGGGCACTACGGTGCTGGACGGGTTCGAGGCAGGCACGGCGTCGCGCGGGCTAGTGATCCGTGGGTGGGCGCCGCAGGTGGAGGTGTTGTGCCACCGCGCTGTGGGCTGGAACTCGGTGCTGGAGGAGGCCGCCGCCGGGGTGGCCATACTGGCGTGGCCCATGGGCGCCGACCAGTTCACGGACGCACGGCAGCACAGAGGCACGCGGATCTGTGCAGAAGCTGCCTAGCCGATCGGATAGAGGAGAGGGAGAAAATAAAATAAGTGAGGAAGAAAAAAAAATGAGAAAATAAATTTCAGAAGGCATTTTAGACTTTTTTCTACGGTTTGACACCGTTAAAGGTAAATATGTACGAAATGACGTGAAAGATAAAAAAATTTAGCGTCGTAACACCATAGTGTGTTTAAACTTTTTAATAACGACCATCTTTTTCTAGTAGCACACAGCTAAAAGCCTAAAAAACCGCGCGGTTTTGAAGCCTTCCCGCGCGTGTTTTACATTATTCTGTTTACGCCCCGCGACGGCGATGGCGACGGCGACGCGTAACAAATCCACTCAGGGTCAGGGCCCCGAGGCCCGAGCTCACCAACAACGAGGCAACAAAACGTTTATCGGCTCACCAACCTATCTCACGTGGCAGGATGGCGTGTCTCTCCGCCCGCGAGTGCGCGCGCTTCCGATATAAAGCAGCCGCCCCTAGCAGTTTCGGCACCAGCGCATCAGACACCAGCGCACCAGCAGCAGCGGCCGGAGCCCGAACCGAGCAAAGCGCCAACACGAGGAGAAGCGCACGTCTCTCTGCCGCCGCTCGCTCGCTCCCATTCCCGTTCGAGGACCGCCTCGTGTCTCAGTCGCAGCCGCATCCACATCAACCGGTGCGGTCGGCGATGGACGCTGGGGACGCCATGGAGAGGGGCGACCGCGCGCCGCCGCCGCCGCTGCCAGAGGTAACGGTCCGTAGCTCTCTGCATTCACCTTCCGCCGGCGAACTTCTTTCTAGAAAGAATGATCAGGGGCGTTTCGGCGTCAATGCTTTTCTTGGTTAGTGATCAGCGTTAGGATCGAATTCCATTATCGAACACAGGGAAAAACACACAGCGTTTCTCACTTCTGAGATATGATATACTTTAGCTTTTCTGTTTTTCTTTTTATTATGCTCAGCAAGTTATATGTACGCCGTGACGCTGCGGTGATACTGACGTCGGATGCAACGTTGCTCAGCGAACTGGGCAGTTGGGGGGTGAGGATACATGAAGGAGTTGGTGGCCGCCTAGCAGCACGCTGCACGCCATCATCATATATAGACCAAGTCTTAACTAAAGATGCGAGAAAAGGAATATAAACTTTATTAAAACGGTCGATACTTGTTAGATAAATACATTAATTAAACTTGACATTGTTCAGAAGCCATTTTAGGGGCTCTTTGGCACGTCTCTTGGGTGCTCGATTCGACTCCGGCTCTTTATTACTCACGACCATTCAAACATGCAGAGAGTAAAAATACGCAAATTCTCCTGCCGCTGACAACTTGTGAATGTTTTCTTCACTACAGAGCCACGGCCCAAAGATTCCTCAGGACGACAGCCTGCAAGTGCCACTGTTGAAGGATAAAAAACGTGCCGGCAGCAAGGCACCGGCTGTTGTTCTTTGTGAGCATAGCCCCAGCATGTTCATCAGTTTTTCTTTCTCCTGAAAACAGAATGTGTTCAGGCACAAGATGCTAGTTTTGTTATGATCATTTAGATAGACAGAAAAAAAACGAATGAATATAAAGAACTGAATCATTATGTCTTACTAGCATGTATACTAATCACTGGAGCTCATCAATTGCCTCTGCGGCGTGCAGGCTTCGAGTGTCTGGAGAGCACAGCGTTCACTGGCATCTCGACGAACCTGGTGGTGTACCTGGAGACCGTCCTCCATGGCAGCAACCTGGCCAGCGCATCCGACGTCACGACGTGGTTCGGCACCAGCTTCCTGACACCCGTCTTCGGCGCCATCGTCGCAGACACCTTCTTGGGCAACTACAACACCATCATCGTCTCTCTCGTCGTCTACCTCCTTGTACGTATACGGCAGGATGCTAACAGATTCTATGACGCAGAGACACGGCAGGATGCTAACGTACAGATTCTGTGCATGTCTGCCGCGTGCCATCTGCAGGGGATGATGTTTGTCACCTTCTCGGCGTTCGTGCCCACGGCTGCGGTGCTCGGCGGCACGTCGGTGTTCGGCGCCAAGACCATCGCGTTCTTCGGGCTGTACCTCGTGGCGATTGGACGCGGCGGGGTGCAGTCGTCGCTGGCGCCGTTCGGCGTGGAGCAGTTCGACGACGACAACCCGGCGGACCGGGAGAGGAAGGCGTCGTTCTTCAGCTGGTTCTACCTCTGCGTCGACTTCGGCATGATCGTCTCTGCCCTCATCATCGTGTGGATCCAGGACAACGTCAGCTGGGGCCTCGGCTTCGGCATCTCCACCGCCTGCCTCGCGCTCGCCTTCGGCGCCTTCGTGCTCGCCACACCCATGTACAAGCGCCGCATGCCCAAGAGCCTCAGCCAGGTCGTCGCCGCCGCCTGCAGGAAGATCACTCTGAAGGTGCCTTCCGACGCTGGCATGCTCTACGAGGTCAGAGACAAGGTGGACACCCAGCCCAAGATCGTGCATACCGATGAGTTCTCGTTTCTTGACAAGGCAGCTATCATCTCCGAGTCGGACATGGAGGAGATGTCGGAGGAGGCCGGATCGTCATGGAGGTTCTGCACCGTGACCCAGGTGGAGGAGCTCAAGATCTTGATGCGGCTGCTGCCCATATGGGTGACCAGCGTCATCGTGTCCTCGGCGTACGCGCAGATGACCACCACCTTCATCCAGCAGGGCAGCGCCATGAACATGTCCATCCTGTCCGTGCCGGTGGCGGCGGCGTCGATGGGCTCGTTCGAGGTGGTCTTCCTCCTCACATGGGTGCTGCTCTACGGCAAGGTGATCGTGCCGGTGCTGAGGGGCTTCTCCTCCGGCGGCGACAGCGAGCCGTCGCAGCTGCAGCGAATGGGCGCCGGGCGGCTACTCATGGCGCTCTCGATGGCGGTCTCGGCGCTCGTCGAGATGAAGCGCCTCGACAGCGCGGCACGTGGCGACGAGATCACCATCGCGTGGCAGCTGCCGCAGTACTTCTTCATGGCCGGCGCCGAGGTGTTCTGCTACATCGCGCAGCTGGAGTTCTTCTACGCTGAGGCGCCGGCCACCATGAAGAGCACGTGCACGTCGCTCTCGCTGCTCACCATCGCGCTGGGAAGCTACATGAGCTCGTTCATCTACGCCATCGTGGCGGCGTTCACGGCGACGGCCGACAGCCCCGGGTGGATCTCCGACAACCTCAACCAGGGGCACCTCAATTATTTCTTCTGGACCATGGCTGCCATGTGCACGCTCAACTTCGTCGTGTACAGCGCGTTCGCCAAGAACTACAAGCTCAAGACGGTGCTCTCATGACGCGACTACAAGCTGCTCAGCTCGCCTCCGCCTTGATCTTGGAGATTCCACTGCATTTTTTGCACAGTTGCAAATTGGTGATTGGTAAAGGGTAACTAGAATGCAAGTAGCGGCTCAAAAGTAACACAAGAATTTCATAGACAACGTATAGAAATTTCATAAGAATCAGTAGATTTTTTATAGAAAAAACACAGGAACAAAAAAAAAAAAATCTTGCGTTCTAGAGGGGGACTAAGCGGGTGAACTATGCCCAAGCGTAACATTTGTTTGCACTGAGCAAAGCTAGGCAGAACTTCAACCAAAGTAACATGCTCATGTAAAATTATCAGGAGATTGATGTTCTTGCAGCTGCTTTGAAGACCAATTATGTTTTTGTCCTAGTTTTTTTTAACTTTATGAATCTATCCTCTTTTTTGAATATGAAGCCACCATTCAACCCTGTTTTAGACTTTGTTGGCAGAAGGCCAAATAAATGAATTAAAAAACACGATATCAACCCTTGATCTTAACCTAACCCTTTTGGCCTCCGTCGCTGGTTAATTAAGCATATATATAACTTGTTAAATTTCACTTAGATTTGAATTTTTTCTGTAAAATTATTTTAAAATGGTGTCCAAATGTTTAATGTTAAAATCACATGGTACTTGAAAAAACTTGGGGCAAATTCACATGAAAAACTCGTTTTTTAGCTGAAGCGATAACGTTAACTCCTCTAAGTGGAACAAAGTAAAGTATGCCTTTGTTTTGAAAAGGCGGAGTCAAAATCGCAAACACAAAATCGAATAACTGAGAGTAAAAACACAATTAGATTTCAAAACAGAGGCAAGAATGTAAGTCCCAAGATTATTCTTGCAATCATCGCTAAACAAGATGTGCACCGTGCTGTGCACAAAAACACAACCGATATGGCACCACAAGAGGGCACAGGCTGGCCGATGGACAGAAAGTAGAGCATGTGGGGACTTGGCGAGCTCGACATTTAACCACAGGAACCTCACCTGCTCTGCCCCCTTGGCTTGGCTCCACGATGCGGCCCTGCAAGGCTGCTGCTACTACGTAGGCAGCCACCACATTGGCTCGGCGTTTAGCGAAAGCGAACCACCCCGAGTCAATCAACAAATTGCACTATTGCAGTCCAGACTCAAGAGTCAAGAGGAGCACGCACGTCGCGCTGTCCGCATCCGCGTTGCCTTGTTCCGGCCAGTGCGGTGAGTGAGAACCCGTGCTGTTTTGAAACGTTCTCTCGCGCGCCATTATTTTATCCGTGCTGGCGGCATAGTCGGCCAGACAACCCTTCGAGGCCTCAACAAATCCCCCGCCGGCCCGGCCCCGAGCTCACCAACCTTTCCCGTGCTGAGATGGGATCGCGGCCGTCTTCCTGAGGTTGCTGCGCACTTCCTTTATATTATATAGAGTTAAATACATGGGCAGTATCTGACAGGGGCGAATCTAGGATAAATCTTCGCTGGGGTCGGACTATACTTAGAGCTATAACTATAGTTGACAATAATCTAACACCATACATAAAAAGAATAATATACTATAAATAGTAAGCATTCATACAGGAATAAATATGACAATAACATAATCCGACAAAAAAAACTATTTACAAAAGTGGTTACCTCTTATAGTTTCACCCTGCGAGTACGATCATCCATATTCTGAAAACGAACTATGATATCATCATTTGGAATTGCATCAAGAAATTCTTGCTCAACGAAGCAAATGACACAATCATTCATAAATCTATCGCCGATTCGGTTTCGCAGGCCCGTCTTCACAATTTTCACTACTGAGAAACACATTTCCACCGACGCCGTCGCAATAGGAAGAACTAGCACAAGTTTGAGGAGCCGATATACTAAAGGAAAAAGAAAGATTTTTGTTTGTATCCACCATCAGTTTACCGAGCTCAGAAATAGTGGCCACTTGGGCAAATCTAGCATCAGCTCGCACATTGTCGATGTAAATATTAAGCTCAATAATAAGATCATCTAGGTCCCTTGGATCAAAATCATCAGGATATGCCTTAGCCAATTCCATCAAACTCTCAATTTTGAATGCATCAAAAGAATTCTTTGGACTAAAAGCAGCAATATTGGTAAGCAATTCAGAATTTACCTCGTTGAAACGGTCATTAAATTCTGCAAGCTGCAATAACTGGGTTCAAGCAATCATATTTGTAGTGTTGATAGTTGGTGCGGTTGGTCTTCTTCCTTGGTTTGTGCCTATCAATGTACTCTTGTTCCATGTCTAACTTTGGGATGCCATGTTCTTCATAAAAAGATAGCACAGAACTTAGTACGGAATCCCAACCATCATCTCTAATTTGCTGAAATTTCTGTTTTGTTAACTGCACCTCTGACATAGCCTCTAAGATGTCTTTATCCTTCCTTTGTAAGGACAGTGACAAACAATTTGCATGTCCTAATATAAGCAACATTAACTGTAAGTGGAACACAAAGTCAAAATCCTTGAGATAGTCCATGAGACCACGGGCTTGACGTCTCTTGGCATCAGTGGGACCTTCTTTTTCAACATATTGGAGCACTTCAATAACATCAGGGAACAAACTGTTTATCCTTTGAAGAGTTTTATAATGAGAGGACCAACGAGTGTCACCGGTTCTTTGAAGTGATTGTTCTTGATTTAATCCCGTTCCAGTACTAAGTTGTCCACTGCCTATTGCTTTAGCAACTCTCTCTTGTTGACTTTCTCGAATCATATCCTTCCTTTTGCAAGAGGCTGCAGCAACATTAATCAATAGAGATACCATGTCAAAGAAATCACTAATATCATCATTCTTTTTAGCCACTGCAACAATGACTAACTGCAATTGATGAGCAAAACAGTGAATATAATACACATAGCTATTTTCTCTCATGATTAAAGCTCTCAAACCATTAAATTCGCCTCTCATGTTACTTGCTCCATCGTAGCCTTGGCCTCTAACTTGCTTTATGCTCAATCCATACTTACCAAATAGAATATCAATGCTAGATTTGAGACATGAAGCCGAGGTCTCGCTCACATGAACTATACCAATAAGTCTCTCTTTTATTAACCCACTCTTGTCCACATACCTCAAAACCACTGCCATTTGCTCCTTGCCAGAAACATCAGCTGACTCATCTACCAATAAACAAAACACATCGCCACCAATTTCTTCAACAATTGATTTCACTATGGTCTGAAAAAATATAGACACCATTAATACATATGTATAAATACTCTATGACAGATATAATATTATATGTAACTGTCGATGCGGGACCCACAGGATACCCCGCAAGAGAGAGAAGATCTAGTTCAACTAGGATTCTTCCCATGTAATCTTAGTAATAGAACTATTAAGTAATCCTACTAGGAAATCTCATTGTAAACCGATTAGGACTCTGGCCTCCTGACTATATAAAGGAGGGCAGGGCTCCTGAAGAGGGGACAATTGGTACGACATAACACTTGATAATCAATCCAACGCAAAAGGCAAACGCCGACTGGACGTAGGGTCGTTACTCGATCTACGATCGAGGGCCTGAACCAGAATAAATCGACTGTCTCTTGCGTTCACCATCGAGTTCAGCATACGCCGAGACCCGAACTATACTGCCACGGTACCCCTGTGGCAGGCTATCGGTGGTAAAACATCGACAGCTGGCGCGCCAGGTAGGGGCCTTCGGCGACTTTGCATCCGAGAGCTCGATGGACCTCAATAACATGATCTTCCCGACGGGATCGATTTTCATCTTCGGCTCGTGGATCTGCGAGGCAGACAACTACGGCAAGCTTCAAAGTCATCTCCTCAAAGATCCGGATCATCATGAAGAATCCTCTATTTCGACAACTACGACGGATCAACTCATCAGAAGATTCGCGCAGCTCATAATACCCGATTCGAATAAGATTCCATCCGACTCGAATTCAAGCTCCGTATCCGAGATGAAGTCTTATTCGAGTGCTTTCAAGAAGTCGAGTTCTTGTTTGGTAAGATTCCAGAATACAAACCAAAACAACTCGGATTACCCTCAGAGTTTTTTTCAAAAGGCCGAGTTCTTTTCCATTTGGGCTGGACAACACGACAAAATCCTATCGTGGACAGCTTTGAAAGGTCTTTCAAATCAACACTTGGGATACCACCGACAGAGCTCGGAGGGCCTCGTTCTAACGATAACATCGCAAGATCAGTATCATCCATCGGCGAGATCTGCTCTCGAGGATAGCGAAACCCAACTAGTCGGCACAACGACAACAAATATTCTACCTTACCAAGAGGGAGACTCAATCTCTGACGACGCCGAGGCGCTGCTCAAGTCATCAAGAACTCCGGCAAAGATGACAACTAACGACAATAACGGAACAGCTCACGCACGGGGAAGTGTTGATGGTTCGACGCCCTCGATCGCCATTAAACCCCCGAAGCACCCGATGTCGTCATCGATGAATCGAATCCAACATATCACCCTTTGCTCGAGGCTACGATGGAGAAACCGAAAGTCGAGACAGGCTCGAGAAAGGAAAACAAGTTGAAACAAGGGCGCCAAAGACCGCTACCGACAATATGAGAGAAAGATCGGACTAGATACAAGTCGAATTGGTGAATACGACAAAAGAAAATCACAACAAGAGGTCAAGGAGACGCACAGTGAGTACGCCTTACGATAAGATTCGAGAAGCATTAGAAGAACTCAGGGCAACTTCACATCACGGGGAGAAGTACGAACAGCTCCAGGACTTGCTCCGGTCAACGATCCCAAGAACACATGAAGAGAGAACCCGATCAAGAATACCTGCCAGATCAACAACCCATAGGCAAGAAGATCAAAATCAAAGGAAGTCCGCTTTTGAAAGACTTGGACCAGGCGGAAGCCATAACGGGGAAAGCAGGAGGGAACATAGTCGGGGCCATCAATTTGAACAACCAAGGAAGACCAGGAGTAGAGGGCCTACCCAGACAGCCTCGTAGAATTATTCCCATCAAAACAACACTTGGCCAGAAGAAG